ACCGCCGATACTTTTGTGCTATTGTTAAATATTCGCGCATCGATGGAATACCGCATGACCATCACGAAATCCTCGACATCGTCCGCGCATTAGTCCGTGCCACTTAATCTTCGCGCGATCGCCACGAAAACGGATCGCAATCGCGTTGCGGTGCGCCATCCGCGTTTTCAAGGGAATTTAGACGAGGCAGACCACCGTGAATAGTCATCTTAAACAGAACGTAGAAAAAGCCGAATTACATAAGGACGCGATGACCGGATACCATTAGCATTTTCCCCACTCTTTTTCCCTGTTTTCGCTTTGACCTGAGATATGACCGACCTTGGACTGACTCGGGTAGAACGAACTTGATTTATCAATAAATATGAATCCCAGCTTAAATTCTTGTTGTCATTGACTCAACCTCGTTTGACTTTTCCATATCCCCCGTAGCTATCGCGATCGGGTGTGCGAAGCTAGCTATCGCGTCGACGCTCCAACGCCGTTTCAGTCTATGTGAACGATTGATCCGAACCTTTTTACTACCCCTGGATCGTTAACGTGGCGCCCTGAGACGCCACTCCGATTATCCGCTGCTGAGAAAAGAACCCTTGCACCGACATATTGACTAGCCGTTGCCGCCCCTTTGATTTTCTTCGCACGTTGGTTAGGACTTCGCGCTCTTTTTTTACATCCTATAGGTAGCCAACGAAGCCAGCGTACGGAGGAAACAACGAGACCGCCCGAATCACAGCGACCAGAATTAGCCGATCTGCAGCGTTACCCGCCCTCCTAACACGAGGACTATAGCTCGCGCCCAACGATAAAACGATAATAAAAGCTGCAATTATCCGCTGACTACGCCGCTAGTGGCAATTGAGGCCGTGAAAAATCACAATAAATTGTTTTTCTCCTGTCCTCTCCCGTCACAACTTCATTGCCATGTCTTGTGAGAACTTTTTCTACAAGATAGTTATCAGGATATATAGCTTTCTATAGTTCTTGTTTGTAAAGACCGCCAACAAAGGGTTTTTTTGGTAATACGAGTATAGTAGGTGATATGTTACTGATTTTGTTCTCGAAATACGATGTATAGTAAAAATTTTTGTAGATCAATTAGACGTATATCCTTTTTCAAAAACATGTTTTGACTTGCTCACTCGCACTTTCTCACCTATTTGAAATTTCAGTTTCTTAAAAAACCGATGATTGTAAAAAAATCGTCTCAATACATATATTTCATTCTCTTTAGTCACCTCTTTAAGCTTCGTATCTATTGTACGATGTTTGTGATTATTGTAAAATTTTAATAAATCAGACAAATTATTCACCTAATTGTAATTTCCTTGCAGACTGAATGTTTTCCACATAATATTTCCAATGTTCAATGGAAACATTCACAGATTAAGGCTCTCAGATTGCTATAAGTAGAATATAGGTTTATTTTATGTTTTCCATTAGACTATGGAAATTTTTATTGTAGAACTCTATCCATTTAGAGATTTTCAGGAATACATCTCTTCCATAGTACAGATTCCATTACATTATCGTCATCTGTACGAGTGGTCTGTGTTACTGGAACTCCCTGAGCATATTTTAAGAATGTATCTAAAATAGTTAATAGATAGCGAAAATCTTTGATCTCTCTGGAATAGTCTTGCATCTCAATAAGATCTGCTTGCCATATCTCATCTATTCCTCACTGATAAGTGCTAATTCGCGTGGAGCGAATTCATCCCGTAAAATGTAGATCCTTTTAACAGCCGAGCCGCCTCGGACTCGGATTTTCAAACTTTCACGGGCACCTCCGCCCATCTTCGCTTTGATTGTATGATATTCGATTATTAGAGGACCGTGCGGTACCATGATTCAAATTTATAGACTCTATTATTTTCTATCGCCTTAATAACAAATACCAAAATTGCTAGTTGCAAGAGGGAATTCGGGTACAGGCTCATTAAACAGAGAAACACGTATCGTAATATCGAAGGTTCTTGTTTTATTACACAGCAACAATAACGAAGAAAAATCAGAATTTCTATTGATTCAATTATTTAAAAGTAGGTGGTCCGAATTAGATTGGATAACATTCAACTTATAGCTATATGCCATAATAATAAAACTTAAAGAGAGAGAGATAGATAGATATGAATTTCACCGTGCAAAGTCTATTACAAAGAGAAATTATATGAGTACTCACTTCTTTAGTTGAAATTCCCTTTAGTTTTAGTAGTAAGTATACATATTTATTTTTTATTCTTTTTTCACAAGTCCAATAAATTTAAATGAATTGCAGTAGAATCGAACGAGTCCAGTAAATCTGATTTATCCAGTAAATTTGATACACGATACTGTATTAATATTCAACGTAATATGTCTTATTTATTATAATCAATAAATTCAATACTAGGTGTATATATATATGTGTGTGTTTATATGTGTGACTATTGAGAACAAAATTAGTGCCAAAGAAAATAAATGCAGCCTTTTTAATTGGGTGCTCACTTCTGACTAACTACTCTCGCCCTCGCCATTCCTCCGCACACTTTGTTTCCCACTCCCTCTCCTTCTCTCTCTGATTTACTTTAATCACTGGTTTAGTCCTTGGTAAACACGCTGACTGTGGCATGCTGTCGGAGCATGCTGACGCAGCACGCCACAGCAGTGCGCTTCGTCTTTCTCATCCATTCTCGCTGAGGCGCCCAAATGTGTCGCTGACCATAGCATCTTATCGCCATGCTCTCGGCTCTGGCACGACCTAAGTGAACTTTTCGCAGGCAACCTCTCTCTCTCTTTGTACATTAAGTATAAAATAAAAAAAAGAATGGTCCGTCACATAACACACGTGTATCGATTTTTCGACGCTGATAGTTACGACGTGCTGGTTTGTGTAACTCATCAACTAGTTTTTAATGTTTCATTTTTAATATATTCATTATTGATATTGCAGAAAGCCATACGATGAAATCCCTGGAATTCTTTTCTTATTATTTTCTTTTATGTTGTTTTCTCGTAAATTTATACGAAGTTTATCCCAAAAGTATTCGATCTACGTTCATATCTTTGCGCGAAAAGACTCAGGCGACCTTTTCGGCGTTCCTCACAATTCGTTTATTGCTAAAAATGGACGAACAAATCGAACAGCGAATTCGCATAAATTTTGCTTTAATCTCAGTTAAAGTTATGTGAAAACTATTAAAATGTTGCAAAAGATTTTTGAAAATGAGTTTATGGGCAAAGCACAATAAAAAGATTGGTATAGGCGGTTTAATTTGTTCACAGGAATCCTCGTTTTTGTCGACCTCGACGGGAACATCGTCGGATAATGTTGAGCGTCCACGTGTGGCAGTTAAACAAGATCATCGTTTGACTGTGAGAGAACTGAAAGATGAAATTGGAATACTAAAAAGTACTGTTTAGTGAATTTGAACCAAGAATTTGGAAATGACTCGTGTATGTGCAATACTTATTCCGAAATTGTTCTCAGACCAGAAAAAAAGCCTTCGATTTGAAATCGTTCAGAACAATCTGGAAACGATCGAAGCAACATCAAGTCAATGTTAATTGTTTTTTTCGGTTATAAGGGCTTTGTGCACTACCAATATACTCCTACAAGTCAAACAGTTAACAAAGAATACTACGTTGAAGTTTTGAAAAGATTGCGTGATGCAATCAGGAGAGAACGACCACAACTTTGGGAAATCGGTGACTGGCTTCTTCATCACGACAATGCTCCAGCGCAAGCATCAAACTTTGTACAGTAGTATTCATTGAAACACAGCGTTTCTAAGCTTCGCCAGCCTCCATATAGTCCCGATATAGCTCCCTGTAACTTTTGGCTATTTCCTCAATTGAAAATACCGCATAAAGGACATTGATTCACCGATAAACAGACTATTGAAACTAATGCGACGAATGCACTAAAGGCGATTCCAAAGCTAACTTTCAAGAGAGCTTTAATAAATGCTAACAACGATATGTGTATTTTATTCAATCAAATGGGGACTACTTTGAAGGATACCATCTCCCCTTATGACGAAGATTTAATCAAGTGCCGAGAAATTGAGGTTTATCGAATACTTTTGGGATAGACCTCGTATAAATATCTTTTTATTCATATTTTGATATTTTGGTTCTCTATCCTAACCTTGAATTTATTATATAAATATTTTATTATTACATTTTATATGCTTTCATTAACAATAATTTTCCTATATTTTATGAACAAAATATTGATTAAACCTATTAAAATTCAACATTTAAACGTATTACAAAGCAGAATAGAAATTCAAATGAGTAGGAAAAAGCATTGATCTTTAAATACACTATATCTGATTACGCACTGATCTAGTATCTCTAATTAAGGCCCTAATTAACATATCTAATTTATGGTCTCCATTGTCTAATTACTTCGAAGATTTACATGTTATTACAAATTCTTAATATAACAGTGCTATTAATTTAATTAAAGGTATATGTAATACTATTAGAAAGATATAATTAGTCGTATAGACAAAATTGGTAATCACAAAAAAGTTAACAATGACTTTGATATGTCTGTAGCGACAGATTCGAAAATAGAATTTAAAAACAAAAACGTGTTGTTGGCATAGCAACAAAAAAATTATTAATCAATTGTTATTCGTTAGTTAGTTGTCGTCCAATTGATATCACTTGTAACATACAAATAAAATATTAAAATAGTAAAACGATTATTCATTTTGCTATATGTCCACATATTTCCTAGAGAATTTTTTATATGATTCTTTGCTTGAGATTTTACTCAATTTTATAGAATATTTTTCTATCGAGGGAGTTAATGACTGAAGTTTTTTATGTTGGTATAACACTATATTAATTATTCTAATTTGATTAGGCAATATAAAAAATATTTGTACATAATTACATTATAAAATTTTTCCATAAAAAAACTTCATTAAAAATACGAAAATAGAATATCTACTAGTATGCACATGCCAAATTTTTCATTTTGATTATATTATTCATAAATATTTACGTACCTGTTACAAATAAACCCGAGTAAAACGTCCGAAAATGACTGAATTCTACAACGTCCCAATTGAATACTAGTTGTGTATACAAATAACTGATTGGCTTCTCATCTCTTTGAAATGTGTACAATATCATACAAAATAAAATAATCCACAAATATGTTCTACCACGAAATTGACGCTTCTTAAGAAGCGTTTTATATGTTTCTAGTATGTGATTTTTATCAAAAAAGTCAAATATTATACTATTCCAACTTATTCTAATTTGATTATCTGAAGTCTGCCATTTCAATTTGTACAACGAATATGCTATGGCTAATATTACCATGATAGAATTTATACCAAACATCAAGGTATAAGGAGCAAAATTAAAACAGGAAAATATAAATGATCCAACAGCTACGCCTGTAACATCATATACAAAATGTTATACTTTTTTATTAATATCTTAGCCATAACGTATGATATACAGGATGTCCACAAAGTAACGAAACATCTCAAAAATTTACCTAATAAACTATTATTTTGAAAAGGCCAAGGATAACTTTTCACAAGAAATGATTGGTAAATTTGAATTTGAACTTTAGTATTTCCTTCAATGATATTGTAAGGTCATGGGGATCCAAGCCTCAAGTTTTTAGAACCGCAATCGAGAAAGCGGGAAATTTTACGTTTAATATTGTAATGATGTTTTGGGTCAATGAAGACCTTCAAAATTAGCTGATCCAAGTATGGACTGGGTACACGTGACCTTCAAGGTCATTAGTTTTACATTTAGCGTTTTTCAGGAACAACATTGTGAACGTAGTAAAATCTGTTCCTTTTAGGGTTTTCAATTTACCTGAGGCACCTTACACCTCATAATAAAGACACTAGATTTGTGTAATTTCTTCAGAGTCTAACTTTAAAATATTAATATCGATTACCATATTCTCTCTGACGCTTTGTTTACAGATACCATTCATTTAATATCTAGCTTGTGGAGTGATAACTCAAAAGTCAATTTTGAAATAAAAAATTTAATTTTTATGTATTTTAACGAGAAAGTATTAAGCTTGAAATATTTATTTCAAAAATCTAGAACGTTATTTAAAAAAAAAATTAGAAAGTAAGAACCAAAAAATTGATAAAATAATAAACAAATAGATAAAAATTAAGGGACTGCATAGTTACTACTTGAAACATCGTCATTGAGACTTGGTACGAAAATAAGCAAATTTCAATTTCTTTTACCCTACAAACTATTTTATTAATTGTGAATGTACTATTATAGTTTTCAAATAAAAATGAGGTACATTATTCAAATCTAAATAGTAGATTACGATTACCAGCTTTTTCAATTTTCATCTGCTTTTCAAGTTCAACCTTCTTAACTCAGAATGGATATAAAATACTGATTAGACGTGAAAGCTAAAGTGGAACACCTCACTGAAAGAGAAAGAATAACACTTCATATGATAAGAGGTTGGGGTCAATTACAAAGGTTATCAATTACAAAGGTCTCTTAGAGCAGTAAGGACGGCTTTCGATGCCACATTCAGGTTTGGAAAAACTCCGATCACATTATCGACCGCTCAAAATACTCTTCATAGATTTGTGAATTTCGGCCATATCAGAGACTTACCTCGATCAGGCAGACAAAGGTCAGCAACAAATGAAAATTCACTAGATGTTTTATTATCATTTACTGACAATGCACATAATTCCATCAGCAAAGCCTCCCAAGAGCATGGAATTAGTAAATCTTCTATATGCAACATACTCGAAAAAGTAAAATTCCATCCTTAAAAAGTAAAACTTAATCACAAATTGAATGAAAACGATTTCGATCGTCGCATTAAATTTTGTAAAGATACGAGGGGGGGGTCAATAACTTTTTACAAAAAGAATGAAAAAAAAGTTTTGCATATGTAATTTTTTTTTATTTTTCAACATAATCTCCTTGAAGGTCGATACATTTTATTAAACGGCCTTCCAGTTTTTTTAAGCCATCAGAAAAATGTGATTTCTGAAAACCCTCAAAATAGGCATTTGTTTCGGCGATGACTTCTTCATTCGACGTGAATTGTTGTCCGGCAAGCCATTTTTTGACGTTAGAAAATAAGAAAAAATCACTGGGAGCCAAATTAGACTAATATGGTGAATGGTCAATTAATTCGAACTTTAATCGTTAATTTTTGCCATCGAAACTGGACACGTGTGAACTCGAGCATACTCTTGAAGAAAGAGGTATTTTTTTTTTGTTTAAGTGAGGACGTTTTTCTCTGATTTTTTCTTTTAGCTGACCTAATAATGAAGCAGAATATTGTCCAGTGATCGTCTGGCCCTTATCCAAGTAGTTGATGTAGATGATTCCATACGCATCCCAGAAAACTGGGGCCATAATCTTGCCAGCTGACTTTACTGTCTTTGCCTTCTTTGTGGCTGGTTCTCCTGCGGTAATCCATTGTTTGGACTGTTCTTTGGTTTCAGGAGTGTACTGGTGTACCCATATTTTGTCTTCAGTTACGAGTCGACGCCAAAAGTCTACCGGATTACGACGTATGCGTACCAAAAGAGCCTCAGAGGTGACCACGCGGGTTCGTTTATTTTAGACAGTGAGCAAACGCGGCACCCATCTTGCTGATATTTTTTTCATCGCCAATTTTTCATGCAAAATTGAAATGATTGTACCTTTTGATACCCCTGTATCCTCAACTAATTCTCGTAATTTTAATCTTCTATCACTTAATAACATATAGTAGATTTTTTGACCATTTCGGGCGTACTCACTTCTACGGGGCGTCTTGAACGAGGTTCATCTTTTGTTGTACGGCCGCGTTTAAATTCATTTACCCAGTTATAAACAATCTTAAACACAGGGGCAGACTTGCCATGAATGGCGTTCAACTCAACTGTGATTTCTTTTGGTGTAAGGCCTTTCAAATGATAATGTTTTATCACCGCTCGAAACGCTGTTTTTTCAGTTTTTCAAATAAACCAATAACTTTTTGTTCAATCAACGCTCACAAAAAAACGACTTAATGAATCGAGCTGAAACTTTGTACGATATCTAGTTAGTAGTATTGCTTGCCAAAAACATCATAATTTAAGCATGACGAGCGCCATCTCTTGTCTTTTGTAAAGACTTATTGACCCCCCCCGTATGATAACATAGATGATGATTCTATCTTTCCATCTAATGTAGCCTTTTTAGATGAAGCAACTTTTGAACTTGATGGAACATTGAATAGACATAATTCTAGATATTGTTCAGATGAAAATCCTCACTGGATGGGGGAAAATAGATCACAGTATCCGCAGAAATTGAATGTTTGTATAGGAATCGTTAACAACAGAATCATCGGATCATTTTTTATTGATGGTAACTTATATACTCAAAAGTATGAAGGTTTGTTTCGAAATAATTCCTGCAATTAGAAAGATAACTGGAGACAATTTTGAAGAAATATGGTTTGAGTAAGACGATGCATCAGCTCATTATACAAGACTTTTTGCTTACTTAGATGAAGTATTCTTTGATCGGTGGATAGGAGGAAGGAGCACAATTGATTAACCGCCAGGTTATCTAACTTGACGTCTCTAGATTACTTTTATTGGAGTTATTTAAAGGATAGGGTATTCAAAAGGAAACCCCAAAATTTAGATGAATTACGACAAAGGATCATGGATGAGTCAGCCCTCATTTCCACTTAAATGATTCACAATGTTGTTGCTGCTTTTTATGATCACTTTGCCTATTGTCAAGAGGTATATTGAGAGCATTTCGAGCATTTGAAATAAAATTATGTTCTGATTAATGATAGTCATAAAATACCAAAGAGAGGATAAACAAATAAATAATAGGCAAGGGGACTCACGTAAATTAAGCACCCTGGATGGAAAAGATTTTACTACATGCACGTTATTGTTCCTCGCAAACGTTAAATGTAATACTAATGACCTTGAAGGTCACGTGTACCCAGCTCATACTTGAATCAAGTCTAAAAACCATCAGCTAATCTTGAAGGTCTTTGTTGACCCAATAATCTGAGTATAATTTTAAACGTAAAATTTCTCGCTCTCTCAATTGCCGTTCTTAAGACTAGTGGCATGGATCCTCATGACCCAATGGGTCATTACCCTATGAACCTATGATCCATAACCTAAATATATTTTTAAATGTAAAATTTCCTGATCTTTCGATTGCCGTTCTCTAAAATAGAGTTTCTATTAAAAAAAAAGAAAGTTGAACTTAAAATATCATTAAAGGACACGCTCAAGGTTGAGTTCAAGCTTACCAATCGGTTCCTTGTGAAAAGTTACCCATAGAACAAACTTGATCTTTTCAAAATAATAGTTTACTAGGACAATTTTTCGGGGTATTTCATTGCTTTTTAAATACTCTGTAAAAATCGATAAATAGGTATAAGCCTTATAGATATATATTATTATATAATTCTTCGATTTATAATCTTCATTGATATCGTATGGCGATGCAAGACTCAAGAAAGTCGGTTGGACTGTGTCTCCTTATCGATAAAATAGAATGTTTTACAAATTCAAGTCTATATGTGCTTAATTATAAACTCGAAAAATCATTATTAATAAGCAATTACTTTCAGTGTTATTTGGTAAAAATGAAACAATCGGGCAAGTTCTTTCAATCACGACGGTCGAAATAAATAGAGTTTTATGTCAATGCGTCAGAAAACGAGAATCGTCGGCTTCCTCAAATAAAAGGGCTACATATAATCTGTAGCATAAGATATAGGAGTTACTTATGAGGGTCTTTCGATGCTTCAGTATAATTTTATTCAAAAAATTTATGAAAAGAGTTCACATAACATAGTCGAAAAATTGCTTTCCCGAGAACAACAACCTTATTTTTTACCGTGTATTCTATATGCAAAGAAACATCATTTGTCGCAAATCCAACTTTTCTAGACTTCTACCAAATGAGTAGATATTGAAAAAATTGACTTTTATATAAGTTTCTTTTCCGAAAGTAGTTTCTAGAATTAAAAAAAATTATATATATATATATATTTCTCAATTAAATATAAACTCATTGTTATGTCTCTATAAGGCTGTCACAGGCAAGATCGATATGGGGACGCCGTCAATTCGGGTGTCTTTGTTGCTGACTCTGTGGGAGAAGTCTTAAAAGTCTTCTCATGGAGTTAAGAAGCAGAGACAGGCGAAATTAGTTAACGAAGCAAAAATTACAATTGATTCGCGAGAACAGACTAGACGAAAAATGATTCCTTCTGCCCAAACGTAGGCAAAAGCGGAGTGCACTCCCTTCACACGCAAATATCAAATTTCACTAATTCGCGATAAGCCAAGTCGGAAAAATTAGCACTCCCGCGATGCATCTTTTGTTAGGGAGAGTAGTCTAGCTCGAGTATCGTTTCGAAAATGTA